TACTCCTGTGAGGCATACCAAAAGCGGCTCATGGTAAGCCATTTGAAACACCTCTGGTTACCAGACCAATAACTTTGAGGGTTGACCTAACATTTTCATGAAATAAAATATACTCTGTATCGTGTAGAATATTGTATTATTGCCCTTGGCGCATAATTTTGCTATATTTATGTTTTAAATTAAAATACAAGTTTTTTGAAAAAAAAAAACAAGTTTTAAAAAATACAAGTTTAAAAATATTAATGTACCATAAATTGTGCAAACATACAACAAACAACAATAAGGAAATGAGAGAGTACAACGTTTACACGCGTTAGTTATATACTACTTTTATTCTATTGAACTGACACAAGTATATTTTGGTAACGTTTTATTTACTCGTTGTATAATTTATAGTTATATCCTTAAAGACCTTAATTTATCGGTTTGCTTTTTTCTTTTATGTGCTTTTCTTTAATTAAATTGGATTGGATTGGATTAAACATGTAAAAACTTTGAATACGTGGACATTTATTTTGAAAAAATATCAAATTTTAGCGTAATATATCATGTCATGACAAACTTAATCCATCCAATTTCTTTACATCCCCGATTCTAAGCAAACAAAATCATAAACATAAACGACTCCCATCTATTTAGTCACCAAAGACAATTTGGATTATGTGCGTAGAGCCCACATCAATTACCATCGATACAAAAGCATTAAAGCAACAAAGACCAACAATTACAATTCCTAGCTTCTCGTTCAATATTGAACAAAACTTGTACTAGTAGCATTCAAAGCATGCCTAATTGACTACAATTATTAGAGTAATGATTAACAACTTTGTGCAATTTTGCTGACCATTTGCTACCTATAATTAGCAAAACAATGCAACTTGCTATTAGTAGCAACTTGCAACTTTGCAAGTGGTTGATAGTTGATCCATTGATAAAGCCTTCAAAATTGACTCTTTTGTGGGACCAACTTTTGAGTACTGATCAACTTTTGAGTAATGTCCCTTTCTTTTAATATAAGTTGTCCCATCCCATTACTTTTAGGGATGACTTTGTACCCCTCCGTATCTCAATAATTGTTAGCTTTCAAAATTAATGAGCTCCTTCGTTTTTAATTGGATGTTTGGTTGAACGTATTGAGTTTGTACTATAGTAGAATTCCAACGTAATTGTTTTTCTCATCTAATTATGTTTCTTCCATATTGTTAGATAATATAAACTCCTTGGGTTGGAGTGTATTTTATTGATTTATATATATAGGGTTACAACGATAAATCCTAATACTTTAGGGAATCTCAAAAGATATTTACAGAATATTCATAAAACTATATCCTTCTATAAAAAATAATATCTAGAATATTTATCATATTCTATCACACCCCCGCAGTCATAGCGGGAGGAGGACGGACGCTGAGTCTGGATCTGAACTCCAAAAATAGTTGTCGAGGGAGGCATTTTGTGAAAATGTTTGCAAACTGGTAACGAGATGGAACGTGCAAGACCCATACATGCCCCAACGCCACCTTTTCTCGAACGAAATGAATGTCCATTTCGATGTGCTTGGTGCATTGGTGTTGTACGGGATTATGAGACAAATAAATTGCACTGACATTATCACAATAAACAACAGTGGCCTACCGGAGAGGACAATGTAACTCCAAAAGGAGATCACGAAGCCAACATGCCTCGGCAACAACATTAGCGACGCCTCGATATTCTACCTCTGCACTGGATTTAGAAAGAGTAGGTTAACGCTTAGACGACTAGGAAATGAGATTGTCCCCTAGAAAATAATAATAACCCGAGGTCGAGCGACGGGTATCTGGACACCCGCCCTAATCTGCATTAGTATAAGTAATCAAGTGCATGGATGAAGAAGGATATAAATGTAACCGTGATCAATGGAGCCCTAAATGTAACACTGAATGTGTTTCAATGCATCATAATGAGCCTGTCTGGGATCATGCATGAATAAACACACCTGCTGAACTGCATAAGCTATATTAGGGCGAGTGAAAGTGAGGTATTGTAGGGCACCTGCAAGACTACGATAGAGTGTTGGATCATGAAACTTAGGGCCTGTCTCTGCACTAAGCTTGGATTGAGTATCCACTGGAGTCGCCGCAGGTTTACAACTAGCCATGCCTGCGCGCTCTATAATTTCCTGTGCATACTTTTGCCGAGACAGAAACATATATGAAGGAGTACGAGTAACACCAATGCCCATAAAATAATTGAGAGGGCCCAAGTCAGTCATTGGAAATCCAGTACGTAAGTGAGAAATGATGCAGTCACGCAACAAATTTGAAGAAGTAACCAACACAATATCATCAACATATAATAGCAAAAATGCCATGTCTTTCCCATGTCGGAAAATAAATAAAGAATTGTCATTTTTGGCAATGACAAACCCCATCTGCAAGAGAAAGTTAGCATACCGCTGATACGAAGCCCTTGGAGCTTGTTTTAAACCATATAGAGCCTTGCGGAGCCTACAAACATGGCCTGGAAACCTCTTGTCAACAAACCCGGGGGGTTGATGCATGTATACACACTCATTTAGATCACCATGCAAAAAGGCATTTTTTACATCAAGTTGGTGAATAGACCACTGACGAGCCATAGCCAAACTTAAAATTGTGCATATAGTGGCCGGTTTAACAACCGGACTGAAGGTTTCATCACAATCAACACCTTCTACTTGAGACCTACCATCACAAACTAATCGAGCTTTGTGTCTTTCAAGATCACCATTAGCATTTAATTTATGACAAAACAACCACATACAGTTAACAATGTTCACCCCGTAGGCCTAGGAACCAAATCCCATGTCCCCGTTTCAATTAAAGCACTATATTCAACACGCATCGTAGCATTCCATTTTGGGTCGGAAAGGGCTTGTTTGTGATTTTTGGGAAGCGGGGAACAGATGATGGCAGATAGACCGAACTTTGGGTTTGGTTTAGCTATTCCGTGCTTAGACCGAGTTTGGATTTGAGGTGATAATGGCGGTGGTCTAGTCGAAATAATTGGCGTGAGGCCGCGAAGTGGGGGTGGTGTGTATGTGGATGAGGGGCTTGGAAAAAGGATTAGGTTGGTTAGAATAGTGGGGCTGCTGAGCTGATTTGAGTTTGGTGAACCAGGTAGCGAGCTGGGCTGGTGGGTGTGTTGCTGGGCCGTAGGGGATGCGTGCCTTGGGTTGGCAGGTTGGGCCGCAACTCACCTGTGGCGGGGTGAGCTACACCACAGCCCGCCTATGGAGTAGGTTGGTCTGTTGCTCTAGCTGGGTCGTGGGTAGGCAGTGAGGGCCGCAACCCACCTGTGGCCTGCTGAGCTGCGCCACAACCTCCCTGCGGAGTGGGATGGTTGGTTAGGCGTGGTGTGGGTTGCATACGGATGTGGTGTTGCAAGAGTGGTGATGGGTCATCTGAAGCTAGAAAATCATAATCAGTCGATTGAAACTTAGTGATATGTGTACATGGAAGAGTATGTTCATCGAAAGTGACATGGCAAGAGATTATGATTTTATTGGTGGTGATATCCATACACCTATAGCCTCTATGGTCGGAAGGATAGCCCAAGAAAACACACGGGGTGGAGCGAGGTGCAAGCTTATGAGGCATTGTGGCTGATAAGTTCGGAAAACAAAGACACCCAAAGACTCTAAGATGAGTATAGGAAGGGACAACCCCAAATAAAGCTTGAGCCGGAGTGATTTGATTGAGAGTTTTGGTAGGAATAATATTTAGAAGATAAGTGGTCGTTTCTAAGGCATAATGCCAAAAGGCCGGTGGAAGAGATGCATGAAACAATAGAGTACGCTTAACATTGTTAAGAGTATGAATCATGTGTTCGGCTTTGCCATTTTGAGAAGATGTGTGAGGACGAGAAGCGAAAAAACCAATCCATTTTTGACACAAAATAATTTGAACGGGTCATTGTCGAATTCACGACCGTGATCACTTTGAAAAGATTTAATAGGACGTTCAAATTGAGTTTGAACATATTGTCGAAAAGTAAGAAAGGTTTGAAAAGCTTGAGACTTATACACAAGAGGAATAGTCCACACATATGAGTATAATCATCCAATAGAACTAGATAATATTTGTGACCTTTATCACTACAAATAGGAGAGGTCCACAAATCGGCATGGATAATGTCAAAAGCAGAATAAGTAATGCTATTGGAATTATGAAAAGGCAAGCGAGTATGTTTTCCTAATTGACAATCTATGCAAAAAGTGGAGTCGTGCTCCTTATTACAATCAATCAAATTGTTACTTCTAAAAAAATTAAAAGTGGGTGCCTCAGGATGTCCTAAGCGGTTGTGCCACGTGGATGGAGACAAGGCTGTGAGAGAAGTGGCTAGACAAGTTGTCGGTGCTGTGGTCACAGGATAAAGGTCCCCGGTACTATTGCATCTGGTTATTAGATTCCCCGTTCGTAGATCCTTCACAGAAAAACCATTAGGATCAAACTCTATTGACACAGAAGTATCAGAAGTAAACTTTCTAACAGAAATTAAATTTTTGATAATTTGGGGAGCTAAATAAACATCACGCAAGGAAAGAGATTTATTAGCAATAGTGGAATGACCATAACCCGTAATTGGAATGCGTTGACCTTTACCCACTTGAATATAATTAGATATGCTTAAATTAAAAAGGGGTAAGAGTTTACTGGCATTATTTTTCATGTGGGAAGTTGCTCCGGAATCCATGTACCAAGACGGATCGTAGTTAGGGAAACTCATCGTTGCAAACGCATTTCCCAACTCGGTTAGAGTCATTGTCGAACCATACTTTGATCCATGAGAAGAGTGAGCTGCTTGGGAATGTTGAGGAGGCCCAAAGAAATAGGCCTGCTGAGGCCTTTGTTGTTGTGTCGGGTAGGGGGTCGTGGGCCAGCCCATTGCTGAGGATGTGGGAATGGCGCCTGACCTCATTGTGGGGAGGCTTGCTAGGCTGGATTTGTTGGGCCATTCCAATGGGGAGGTGCGCCCCATTAAGGAGGTTGCTGTTGTGATTGTTGCTGCTGCTGTTGTGGAGAACCTCGGCCACAACCCTTGCCTCGACCTCGGCCGCGACCACGACCACGGCCACTAGAGCCGCCACCTTGACCGGCCAGTGCCGCTTGGTGCTGTTGTGGGGCCGTCGAACTCGTAGTGTTTCCAGATTGAGCCACAAAAGAGGATGCCTGTGACGATGAGTCATTGGCTCGCCTTGACTCCTCAAGTAACAATCGAGAACTCGTTGTTTCGAATGAAGGCAACGGGGTAGTTTGTTGTATCATCGCAGCAACGGTATCAAAATCTGTATTCACTAACCCCGAAACTAGTCGAATTACGAGTTTTTGCTCCGGCACGTTTAATTCTCGACGATAAGAAGAGATGTAAGAGAATTTTGACAGGTGCAATTGATTAAATTGCTTTTCCAGATAAACCACCCTAGTGGTTTTATTTTCTCGAAATATTTCCTTAAGTTTATCCCAAACTTGTTGTGCCGTATCCCCTTTGCATAAAATTGTTTATAGCAAATCAGTAGAGATAGTACCATAAATCCAATTCTTGACAACGGAATCAAGCCTTTTCCACATAGCGTCGGAAAGGTCAGCAGGACGAGGTGTTTTTGGGTCAATATGATCAGGGACATCAAAAGCATGAGCATGACACTCAAATAACTCAACCCAATTGGAATATTGAACTTTTTCACGATCAAGAATGAGAGGAATATCATTCTTAATATTACTAATACCAAGAGCCAGATGAAAGACTGACGATTCACCTTCCTTGACCATGGTGATTGATGGCAGTGGTGTTATGGGTTGCTAGGGGTAGACGGCCAGGGCAGAAGAAAAAATTCGGGAAAGGAAAAAAAAAAAAACTGAGAAAGCTAGGATTGGATCTAAAACCTAAGCTGTGATACCATGTTAGATAATATAAACTCCTTGGGTTGGAGTTTATTCCATTGATTCATATATATAGGGTTATAACGATGAGTCCTAATACGTTAGGAAATCTCAAAAGATATTTAATTCACAAAACTATATCATTCTATACAAAATAATATCTAGAATATTTATCATATTCTATGACATATGAAGTTATATATATCCACATAAAACATTAAAATTCAACTTATTTGAGGGAAATCGATAAGCAACTTTATTCATTTTGTGGAAAACAATACTTCGTTCAATAGATGATTCTATGGTTGTCATTTGAAAAATGATAACCATAATTTTTAAAAATAAACGGTTCAGATTTAATGATTTTTGAATTATTTTTAAATGCTAATATTAACTAATCTTTATTTTTTATAAATTAATTACAAATAAAAGATTCAGAAATAAGAATAATTAATTTTTAGAAGCTAATTAAGTATTTTTATCAAAAAAAAATATGAGTGAATTTTGATTAATTTTAGCATTTAAAAATAATTCAAATATCATTAAATCACGGCTGTCTATCTTTATAAATTGTAGTAGTCATTTTTCTAATGTAGAAGTTCATGACATATTAATCATACATGAAGTTCCACTACTTGGGTTTTTTTGTCAACAGATACACACAAGTACTAAAATATTATAACACTCCCCTTTTTACAGTCTTCACTCCAATACTACATGTTTATTGATGCAAATTTATTTGTCTTAAGAGTTGAGGTAAATTTTACAAGATCGCATTTAGTGAACTTGTTTTTGTCTATGTACTGTTAAGAATTGTTGTTGTGTTGGTAAATGACCTAACTAAAAAGGAAAGTCTTGTTTTATTTTTTTTCAAAATCGTCATGACCTAACCTCTAAAACACGAACAAGTTTTTTATTTCAGAACTACATTAATTGAATTATTTTTGAATGAAAATTAGGTTTAATTTGATGATAACACCAATAAAAAACATGATTTTGATAATAACACCATAAAAAAAAAAGTTTTATTATAACACCACCAAAAATCCCAAAAATTGGTTTCACCACCCACTAATGGATTTTTGGATGGAAACCGTTAGTGGGACCCGCCATGTACACGTATCAGTTGTTTATTGGTTTAAAAAAAAGAAAATTAAAATTAAAAAAATTAAAATTAAAAAAATCCTAAACCCTAACCCAGCCACCACCGGCTTCCCTACACACCACCGTCGGCCAGCCCCACTGCCGCAAGCCCAACCAAGCCGCCGGTATACTCCATCGCCCCACCAGCCCTATCCCTCGATAACTCCATCGCCCTTACCACCACCGTCGCCGAACCACAACAACATCACGCCACCACCACCTATCACAGCAACATCACCACCACCGTTGCCGAATTCAGTCAGAACCGTCACCCTAGCCCAACCTGAGACGTTGCAACCCTGAAATATCCTAGCCAGTACCGAAAAATCGGCAACCCCATTAACGACCCTCCCTTACTTTTCATCGTCAAAACGGTCAAAATCGACCATGGCAGCCCTCGATTGGTCGATTTCGGCCGCCGATTTAATGGTCGTTTCAAGGGTTAGAGAAAGGGGTGGATATCGCGGCGGTTTGTGCGGCGGGCTGAAGAAATTTGAAAGGCTGGGTGGTTTTTGCGGTGGTTTGAAGGGCTTGGGGTGGTTTTCGGGGAGGGGGAGGGGGGAAGAGGTGGAGTTCATGTTGGTTTCGTCGGATTATGTGAGGGCAGGGGATGCCGGCAGCAGCGGTGGCAGGGTTAGTGGTTAGGTTTTTTTTTTTCTTTTTTTTTTATTAATTTATTTATTTTAACCAATAGACACTTGACACTTCCCCACTAACGGTTTCCATCCAAAAATCCGTTAGTGGGTGGTGAAACCAAATTTTTGGGATTTTTGATGGTGTTATAATAAAACCATTTTTTTTTTGTGGTGTTATTATCAAAATCGTGTCTTTTTAGTGGTGTTATTATAAAAAAAAACCTGAAAATTATTCGAAAGACAAAATTATGGAGGCATTTAATTTAATCTTACCACTTGACATTTTGTAGTCTCATTGTCAAAATTTGCCAATTTTGTACTTTTATTTCACAATTATCATTTAATCACATAGACACATACATAGTTAACAACTACCTCCACAGCTGTTTGGTGGAGTTGTATTAAAAGTCAGAGTGACAAAAAAATTATGGGTCAAATTTTATCCACTTTTCATTTCAGGTAGAATATATATTTAGCTAAATTCTTTAGCTAACTTACTCCTATGTGCTATTCTATCTGTCCTATTTGCTCCATTTATTTTTAATTTGAACTTAAAGTAAGTAGTTGATCAAGTTTGACGTGTATTCTCATTGATATACAAAGAACGATATTGTCAAATTATAAACTTTATAAACTTTGACTAATATATAGGTCATCGTATATGAAGTATATTTTAACTAATATAAGTGTACAATTAAAAATATTAATAGTTAAATATATATTTTTTTCAGACCGCAAAAATCATATCCTTTTATCCCATACAAACATGTTGAATTAATGTGAATTGAACTCAAGTAATCTCATTACAAACCCTACTTGATATTTTGCAAATTGGTGTACTAATAAGCATCTGTTAAAAAAAAAAAGGAAAATTAGCTTAAAATAATCCCAACTATTAGCGATGTGTATGTGTAAAATAATACGACCTCAGCTAATTACTATCAGCAGTCACCTTTTGTAATATATGTGCAAAATGTTACGACGGCCACCGAAAAAGATATCTCAAGGAATATTCCGTCCATTTTCATTATATTATTATTATTATTATTATCATCATCGTCATCATCATCATCATCATCATCATCATCATCATCATCATCATCATCATCATCATCATCATCATCATCGTTATTATTATTATCATTAGGAAATATTGCATTTAATTTCAAAATACACATTATCTTAAAAATTTACTCACTATCCAAAGAGGGAGCCCCAATTTCTAAACATAAGAAACATGAGGTGTTTCTCAATATGGCATTTCTGAAAATAAGAGGAATTTCATGATTATTTTAAAACAAATTTGGTACTTTTTTTTTTTGTCCTTTTTTTTTTCTTCGTACTCCATCTTCTTCCTCCTCCTTCTTCCTCCTCCTCCATATTCTTCATCCTCCAACTTCATCATACTCCATTTTCTTCTTGCTTTACTACCCCTCCATTGTAGTAGTTCGTGGACACCGCTTTCACCACCATATTTTCGGCGAATTAAACGAAAACCCTAACCGAAAATGGTGAAAAGAAGGGCATGGTTAACCTTGAAAGAAAAGGGTTACATTGTAATACCCCGTATGTTTATACGTATTTAACTTAAATAAGTATTTATAAAGTATTTAATTAATTCGGAATGAATTATTTATGTTGTTTCATTAATTTAAAAAGAATTATTTTAATTAAAAGTTTATTTCTAATTATTTGACAATCTTGAAAATATTTTATTTCATAATTTGGAAACTTTGGGGCATATTACACTACTACAATTTTGATCTATTGCAACCCCCAAATCCGTTGCATTAGGCGTCAAAATCCGTGACATTAGGCCTAATGCAAAGGCCATGTACCGTGGCATCTATTGGCGTTGCAGTAGGTCTAATGCAACGGCATATGACACCTAATGCCACGACATCAATGATCCGTGGCGTTAGCCTGATGCAACGGCAACATTATTGCCGTGGCATTAGCTATAATACCTAATGTCACGGTGCATATACCCTAATGCCACGGTTCCCTATACCTAATGCCACATAATGCATATACCCTAATGCCACGGTTCACTATACCTAATGCCAATAATAATAATAATAATAATAATAATAATAATAATAATAATAATAATAATAATAATAATAATAATAATAATAATAATAATAATAATAATAATAATAATAATAATAATACAATTAAAATCAGAATTTTCAAAAAAAAAAAAAAAAAAAAAAGAAAAAATATTAGAATTTTATTAATTTGAATTCAAAGTTTGTACATTGTTATCTATAAGGAAAATTACAAAATTAAATTATCACTAGTTAAAATAAGAAATAAAACAATTAAAAGTTAAAACTAAATCATTTTATCCGCCAAACAATATTTTCGGCAATTCTTTAGACCGCATTATCATTTCTTTCTCCTGCTTCTCCAATTCTCGTAAAGCAATTCATGAAGCATCTTCTTCAACTTCAGTATTATCCACCTCCTGAAATTGGATGGTACACAAAGGGTAAGGCACAAGCTTTTATAGGAAAAGTAGTTCAAGTCAGATTAAAATTAGATTACTACTTTATTGGTACTTGTGACTAACAAAGCATACACTTGTTCAACATACCTTGACAATTTGAACAGTTGCGTCTCTGTTGATCAAATCATACTACTACAACAAAGTGTTGCTTCAAAACTTTTAATATCCCACACCACCACTGGCGATAATAAGCCTACCACCAGCAATCAACAGCTGCAAAATTCACAAGCAGATCATATTAGGAACTTCATAAACAAATATAGTTAAATGAAAAAACAGTACAGATATACCTTAATCTTGGGTGGCATGAGATTTCCTTGTGAAAGACTAATACAAACAGAATCCGTAAAATTAAGTGAATTAAAAGACAATGTCAAAGCACAATGCCCAAAACTGGCACCAACTTACTCTCAAAGCTATAAAATCAACCCGATATGCCTAATGGGAATTCTCATTTCAAAAGCAAGGTTCAATAATCACGAGATTAGATAAATTGAAACACGATCTCTAAACAAGATATGACTAAAATGAATTTGTGATGCATATATACATTTAACCATAACAAAATATCCAATTCAAACATCAACAATACTCCAATA